TGTAACTGTGTAAGTGATATCACAAAATATCTGAAAAAAATTCCTACATTAAAATAGTGAATAAAATCAACATTCAAATAACTAAAAAATATATTCATATTAGAGTAACCAATTTTATTTCCTGTACCAATACAGTGTTTGAGCTAATTTACATGTGTAATGCATCCAATAATTTCAAGTTGGATAGCAAAACCTTTCAGCTTCTTTTTTTAGATATAACAGAGTACAAAATGTGTGGATAAACAAAATCCATATTACTTGTTACCGCAATATGATTGATTAATTTACATGTATATTAAAATTAATCTATTACTCAGTGCTGCATGGAAGCTGCTTCAACTTTTTCCTAAGTATGCAATTTGCTTTTTTCCAAATAATAGAAAACATTAGTTTAACTACAGTATTTATGTACATTTCATCATATTTTCAAACACAGACACAACAAACTTTAGTATTCCCATCTTGATCTCACATAATTTTATTTGCTTAACAATGAACATAATTTATTTTAATGAACTTGTACAACAAACCATAGTCTAATTTTCCAGCATGTGAAAAGATGATAATGAAGTATCTTTTGGGATAAAATATACAGAACATTTATCAAAAATATGTGATGCTGAAAATGACAGCACATGGTCTAAAACCTTATATAAGTTTACATGTAATATGAAGCCAAAGTATTTTTCTTTATCTACTGGGTAAATTCAAATTACGAGTCTTATTAAACAATAACTGTATGTAATCTATGCAAAAAAAGTTGGACAGAATAATTATTCAAAGAGTTAATCTTCTAGTTCCTAACAAATATACCTTCAAAAATGACAAGAAAGCTTTTTTATTAAGTTAAAATCAATTTACTCCAATGGTTGTGCAATAAATAAATAGTTCAATTAGCTGCATTATCTGATCACTGAGTATCACATAAATAGGAAGAGCCTTATCTATCTTAAATAAAACAGGCATGATATGGTTACAACTTTTTCTCAAAATTTTAATGTAATGAAGGCATGTTGCTTTGATTTTAATGATTAGTCAACACAATAAATCATCAGAAACACAATGCATGCATTACAATTTGTTGAATCATTCCAAACAGAAATATATCATATCAAAGAAGAGAGATTAGGTTTCTTCAACATGTAGATAAAGTGGGGGAAACAAAAAGTATACAGCATAATTTGCATCAAGTTTATAATTTATTTTTAACACAGGCTGTATTATCTATAACTTATCAAAATTTATTGACAGGAAACTGCAACACCTACTCTATCATAACAAATCAAAGTAGAAAAGTTGGGTGTCTTCAATGTATGGATTAGGTGAACAAACGCAGCACAATATATAGCATCAGTAGCTGTAAAGATGCAGCGAGGAAATATACACAGCTGTAAGAACTGAGTGATGGTCTCATTCTTTGCAGATCCTAAAAGAAATACATTAATAGAACAAAAACTTGAAATTGTATATTCAATACTAGATCATTTGATCACAATAACTAAAACCAGTGTGTTACAACATACTGAAATTTTACTATTTTATGGTTATAAACAACATAAATGAAAAACCCAAGATAGTAAAAAAATTTCTTAGCTAATGCTACTGATATGAAGAGGTTTACAAAAAACATACTTGACTGAAACCATGTATCTTTCTCTTTTTTAAGCCGTGCTAAAACTTTTACTGTATGTTCTTGTTGTCGTTTTTCTTCTTCTGCAAGCTTCTCAATCAAAGCTTGGCACCTCTCTTTCTCTTTTTTCTTTTTGCTCTGGACCTAGGAAACAAATACTTAAGTGCAATTATTTTTGAGCCAATAGTTACAGAAGTATAATACATGACAATAAAGTACTTCTTCTCTGGGTCACCAAATATATAAAAGAGAAAGAAAATAATGACATTTTTTGGACAAACATCATGTAAAACACTGTGAGCCAACAAATACACAAGCATGGTACAGAGTGAAAGAAACACCTCTTATGGTTCAATAAATAAATAAGTACAAGATACGTAGTACAAAACATCAGTTTGTTAGACTTTTATTCATCCTCTGTATGGAGTACCACAGATCCAGAAACCAAATCTATTATTTCAGACATTAACAGTTTCAAACTAGGTTTATTACTATGGATTATTAGTACTAGTGTTCAATACCTGTGGGGTTCAAAGCCCTCTCATTATTTATAAAGGCCCCAGTAAACCAATAAAAGTCCTCCAATATCCCAATTGCTTCTTTAGTTTATACCAAGAGGGGGACCCATTTCTAAAAGAGAAAAGTTATAACATCTACTCATGGTACCTTTACCCTTTACATATGGCTAGGGGTTAGAGGGCATGTCATCATGTTTCAAAGTGCATGTCATCACCTTTTGTAGACTTACATCCAAAATTTTATTAACTCTATCAACACAGGCTCAATCAATTTGACCAATCACGTAACCTCTTTGTACTCGTTTAAAGTCTTTATAGATTTAATACTTCTAACTTTCAATTTAGTGTGTATATCTTCACCAAATTTGGCAGTCTTTCAGTTAATATTACAAGTCATTCACAAACAAAAAAAATCATATTTTTTAATGAAGTATATTTAATAAAACAAAATAAAGATTTGTCCATGAATATATTGAGTATTTGTTTTGAATAGTCCGTGTGCAAAGTAATTTTCATTTTAAAATTTAAAATATTTTTTCTCATCTCTAAATCTCAAATTTCGTTTGTGTAATCCCTAAAACCTTCTAAATGCATTTTAAACGTTTTTTTCAGTACAACTTTATAGTTTATCTGTTATTTTCTCTACCCTATCTCAAAACAGGATCCATCAATTCAACCAATTTCATAACCACAAAAAAAAATCAAAATAAATCTAAATTACCCTTTTTTCTTTCTAGAATGACTTCAAATTGTAAAATCAAACTACATTCATTTATTTTATGTAGATTTAAGTTCGCAACAGTATATATCTATTTATAATAAAATTTTATTTTTTCATAGCCCTTTGAACCATGTCTAACAACCATCCACACCATTATAAGTTACAAATCACTTGAGGAATGTGCAGCCCACATTACTCTAATGAATTAGCTGGTTGCATGTGTGCCTCATGAAACATTTTTATTATAACATTATTATTATTATTTATTTTACCTAATCTAATCTTAACTAACCTAAAAGGTTCCCTATTTTTACATTTTAGTTACTTTTATAATTAGACAAAGAATAAACATGAAAAACAAGAAATAAAATACTAAACCAATCTTCTTTTTTGCCATCGTTTGTTGAAGAAAGTTAACCCTAATTTTTATACTAATGATAGTAATGCACTAAATAATTTGTATTTAATTACATAATGCACCAAAGAATGTACACTAATAACATGCAAAAAGTAAACAAATTCCCTTACTTCTCAAAAATTTTCTGGCTTTCTAGCTATGCAACAAGAGTCATTACAAATTCATCCAAGCTAGTCATTAACTTTCTCATGGGAACGATGAGTGAAATTGACATTTAACCATTCAGAACATAATGTTACACAAAACGTCATTTGATAGATGAAAACCTTGACTTTCTATTGGTTATAGGTAATATATAATTAAACATAAGAGAGAACTATTAACGAATTCTGAAAGAGAGGAGTAACAGGTAGATGTGGCAGGAGGGGTCTGATTTTCTAATCGATAGCTCTGTAACCAAACAAAATTGAAGACTATATAAATCATGGTTTGTCTAAGCAATGATAATTTTATAGTGAGTAATTTATATTGAATTTCATACTTTTTGGAGAGGTAATGGATAAAATAAAGAGAAGTTACCTTGATGAAATCTGTCAAGTGTGTCATACTAGGGCCAATTAGAATAGCATAAAATCTTAGCTAATAATCCATATTTTAATAGTATACAAGTTTTAAGTTCTTAATTTTACAAGGCAATATTTAAAAAAATCCTGAATTTTTATAACATAAACAAAAAGTAGTATAATAAATTTTGAATGTAAGACACTAAAACTTTGTGTCATGAGCAGTAAAGGATACCTGGGGTGATAGGGTTAATGTATATATTGATAACTTTTGTTCTTTTTTTGTTTTGAATTTCACACAAAGCTATTTGAGAGCTATCTGTGCTAGCTATTCTTAAATTTAGCAGTGATAAACTAGAGGGAAGGCAGTTAATCATCACCAACCACAGCCAATTTTTCAGCTACTCTTTTCACCAATGAATAGTGGGATTGTCATGTTTTAATGACCCATGGCTGAGAGGGCAGGCACATCATGTGATGGGGAATCGAACCTGCAGCCCATAGATTGTGAGTCAAGCATCCTAAACACCAGACCATGTCAGGCTCATATTGATAACAAAGTTTTTAAATAAAATATTGAATGTAACTGTAAAAGGACACGGTACACACACTTTGAATAGCCAAGATTATAGTGATAAACTGCATCCCAATATTTGTAATCTTACTATAGATGATGTAGCATGTATGTTAGTATCTATGTATGTAACGAAAACTCCTGTGCCATCTGTTGAATGGCACAACAAACAAAAGTCCATAAAAAAATTCACATTTTGAGTATTCAAGATTCACACAATTAGAAAAGTAACTGTGGTATGCAACAACTATTTCTTTATAATAGAACAATTTTAAATAAAAGTACTCTCCTCACAACAGGTATACGACTCTCACTACAACTGTATATGAGGGTTTCTGCTAGTACTACTAATTAAGCTTTCTCTTTCAGATGATTTTTTATGCACATACAATTTCTGTTTGATACAAGCTTTCATTTAAAATATATCTCTTTTTCATCACTATCAATAGCATATTTATGATATTAAGTAGCTAGTTCTTTATATTCAAATTATAAAACAGAAGCTAATTTTTTATGTAACTTCCAAATTGAATAAAAAAGATTTTCTGAACTGCTCCATTCTTGATCAAAATATTTATTTTTCAACCAAACTTTCTACTTCCTAGAAATAATATTTGTGATTAATTTCCCACAAACCTGTTTGAATTCATCTGTGTGAGTTGATTCAATAGTTGGTTCCTAGAACAAGAATAAGTTAGTGTATTAGGTCAAGTACTCTTATACCAGAGAACTACGCTCCTTCATAGGTTATCAGAGACAGAGAGCAAGCTGTATAAAAAGCATTTGCATGGAACACATTAGTTAGTTATTATAAGTAAAAGAAATAGCCACAAAACTAGAGTCAGGAATTTATATACCTAAGGAAAATTTCAGTACATAATAGTATGCTGGAAATATGTTTTTAAGTATTTCTAGTAAATATACAGATTGGAAATCTCTTATTTGTAAAAAGGTCTTGGGTTTTTGATTTTTCAGTGTGTTATTTTTCAGATGTTGCATTGATTAATAAAATTAACTAATTTGTGGTAGAATTAGTCAATGGCAGTAAAAACTGGTTAGATATGCTAAGCATTAAATCAAATAATTCAGCACTTTATATCTCATTATGACTGATTTATGAGTGTTTAAATTAAAACCACAGATCCGAAGATTTTGTGCAATCACATCATCTATTATTATTTTACAGTATTATCATTTATAAAATAATTTTTTTGGTTGTTTTTCTTTGTGCAAGGCTACACAGTTGGCTATCTGCCCTCTGTACATCATGGGGATTTTAACACACTGATTGCCAACTCTTATAGCATATACCACACCCATTTGCATGTGCAAACACTTAATATTCAAGTATATCTATAAGCAATGCCCAGATTAAAATACAAACAGACAATAGCAGTGATAACCAGTCTAGTGATGGTGGTGACCCAATGGTTTTGCCAGACTCTATATTTTTCAAATAATGACAATGCAGTACCAGCAGCATGTGCAAGACCTAGACTTTATGGGATCCATACCAGAGGACCATATGGCTGTGAGTGTAAGACAAGAGGTGATGGATGTGGTTCTGCTACACCAGTTCGTGATAGAAGAGCAGCTCCTGTTCAGAATAGAGGAGCAGTTGCAGGTGTGAATCCTAGTGTCCCATTGCATAACTGGTCAAACGTTGTGCAAGATCCACCCAATTTCGCTTTTTGGTCTTAGAATTAATTTACAAGATGCTTCACCTGGTTATTATTATGACTTATTCCTGACTCCACGATTATTAGATACCATGATCACAGAAACAAATTAATATGAGACAGCCAAAATCAACAAACTGCAGTCATTGTGAAGAAAACCATGTCTAAAATACTAAAAGCACACAGATGCAACAGAAATGAAAAATATTTCTAGCCTTGTTAATTCACATGGATCAAAACAACCTACTTATCTTGGAGTACTTCTTGAGTACTGATATTCTGTAAAATACATCTTTTACTGGTGTTAGAAGTCACAACTACTTCCAAATCTCTTACGTTTTTAGCATTTCATATACAATTCTCAACTTCACAATGATCGTTTGTATAAGGTATGATCTCTCCTGGATCATTCCAATAATAAAATGATCCATATTTACTACTCAAGAAAGGATTTTTGCATCGACGTGTCCATGGTACTTTGGCGTGGTAGGCTCTTGTTTTGATATATCAAAAATAAATACCGAAAAGATGGAATCAATCTCTATGAACTATGAGAATCTCAAGGTCTGATGCCAAAAATTTACATATATTCTGGAACTAGTCTTGATCATAATGCCAGCTTGGGACAAGCTGCAGCCATTGTACTTGAACTGTTGGCTGATTACCCTGACAAAGGTCATGTTGTGTTCACAGATGAATATTACAGTTCCATTGGTCTGGTGAGAAAACTGACTGAGCAATCAACTTGCATACGTGGAACGCTCTGATTTGATCATAAAGAAAATTCAAAAGCTGTAGTCCAGAAAAGGTTGAAGAAGGGGGGAATATGAATGGAAGCAATCAGACTCGGTGGTAGTTTGTAAATGGAAAGACGAATGGAAGTGCTCACAATAAGCAACATAAACAGAGTGGAGATAATTGATGTTATGAATCAGAATACTAAAATTTTGAAGAAACCCAATATAGTCAGATTACAACAATGGCATGTCCAGTATATACAGATCTCACTAGATGTTGTTATATTACTCAGCTCTACGTAAGACAACATGATAGTACAAGAAGATTGCCATTCACATCATCGAGATATATATTCTGAACGTTCACATCCCATACAATTACAATAGAAGGCAGGAAATGAAACTGTTGAATTATCATGTCCATGTAACAATTCATATGCTAGGTAATACCATGGAGGACCTTCAAGGCTAGGGGCAATATGCACCCACCAATTCCATTGCCATCAGTTGAATCGTTTCACTGTCTAACATGTTTGCCACCCACAGAAAAGAAATAGAATCAAACCAAACCATGTCTGCACAAAGGCTGCTAGGGGATGAGAAACCCTCACATTTGTGATTTTTACCCTCAAAAATAAGTCCTATCAATTGATAAATGATTCAAAGAACACCATGTGCCTCAATTACAGACAGATAAACAAGAAAACAAAGAGACATTTATAATCATTTACTGGACATTTTGTGATAATAATGTGAGATCTTGTTAGTTCATGAAATACTGAAAGAATGAAATCATAGATTTGAAAATGTTTATTGATTATCAATTGCTTATTGAGTCACCTGATAAAACAATATCATGGATCATGTAAAATAAACGTATTTCAGTTACAATTATAGTTTCACATTCTAAGCATCTCTTCTTTAGTCTTAGTTATGTTGAAGTGAGCTTTGTGGAAATATCATGTTTGCGCTTTAGTGAATTTCATAAGCAATACAATACAATTCACTAATTTGTAAGAAACTATAGACTTTGTATTTGGACATCACAAACATCTGATTTGAACCAATGCTGCTTTCATCATAAAACAATTTGGGTTTCTATGCAATGGGTGCATCCAGCAGAAAAAAATCTCCATGGCAATTTAGCAAAGCTGAGCACTCTACAGTGCCAAATTTTAACAAAAATGCATTGTATTTAGTCTCCTTTGCTTAAAAGCAAAAGTAATACAATTTTCCTTAATGAAATCATAAAAGACTATCATAAACAGCCAATTGGACCCTCACATTGCATATATGCTATGATCAAAAACACTGGATTGACTGCACATTTTGTATTTATTCATTAATATTTTCAGGAAAATTACCATTGAATTATTTCAATGGGCATCTGATAGTTATTGTTATAAAAGTAACTAATACATAAAACTTTGAAAGTTATTAGATAAGAGAAATTAAATGCAAAAAATTTAATAAAAACAAATACTCAATAGCAAGTTTTGGACACACTATACGTTGTGATTTGATTAAGTGTGTTGGTAACTTGGTGCTGTGTTTACACGATTTCCGTGCCATAAAAATTTGCTTTGGCATTAATCTATGTGGTGGGAAAGAAATACATCAAAATCCCCTGAATATTTCAATTGTACTTTACTAATACATAGTTTGTAATTGTAGGTAACAATATGCAGTCATTCTAGAAAAAAGAGGGTAACTTAGATATATATCAAGTATTGATAGGGTTTAAAGGTTAGTAAGCATAATATGTGACAATTACCATTTAAGTATTTACCTAGGGAGCCAAACCCCATTTTTCACAAAAACATACATGGTTGTGGCATATCTATATACGTATAATCTGTGGTTATCCAGGAACAATATCTATATGCACAACCTTGCCAAAAAGCTACCTAAGTTGGGTATTGGGCTCAAAATAAGTGACCCTTCAATATAAGAAAATGTTAAGAAAAATGTCAATAAAGTTCTATCATCACTTGTTCATTTGTATTTCTCTAAAAAAAATAATGTTGTTATTATTATTTTTGCAAATATGACTTTATAAAACCTTTTAGTGGAAAGAAACATTATTTTTATTACATTTCGAAGCCTCAGGTTCACAGATCATCAGAATGTTCACAGGTGTTCAAGAAAAGGGTAATTAAAAATGTAGCACTGTAGTTTGATATTTCAAAGTGACAAAGTGATGGGATGTACATAGATACATCATATTTTTAAGCTAAAGCATAGTGTTAAAGTATAGAAATAATATTTTGAAAGTTTTTTCAGCTAATGAAGAAAGACAATGAGTGAGGTGGCTAAACAGGGATTTGAAAGAAGTGTATCACTTCAGTCGGAAAAGAAAAGGAATTCAGATGTTGCAGGAACGGACTATACAAATGTATAATATGTCAAGAAAAACTAATAAAAGGGACTATATAATATTCAGCCATCAACTTTTGAAAAGCTGAAACTAGCAATCCTTGACAGACAGGACCCACTGCTATATGTTGCAACCAGACACAGATGAAACTATTTGGTTGGAAAGTAGAAAGCCAAAATGGCATAACAAATGCCAAAATTTCTACCTAAATGAGAAGAGTTACAGGCTTGCTGAGCAAAAAAGACTTGGTGTAGATAAAAAATCTGAATATGACAGCAATAGAGTATCAAAGCCAACTTCATCATGGCATCCCCACTCACACAACAAGCCTTATGAGATGAAAATAGGATGTGTAATATGTAACAAACAGTAGTTCTGAGGAAAGAAACCAGAATGTAATGTCTCTACAAAGGATGGTCAGGAAATAATCATCGATCTCGCTAAAGAGTTGCCAATTCAAGAAATTGCAAGATCTTTAGGATCAGTTCAGTGTCGATCACTACCTTTCGTCCACAGTCTCAGTTGAAGGGATACTACTAGCTTCCTATATTTTACAAGTAAGAGGGACAGGTTGGTTGGTATCCAGCAAGATCAGCATTGATGTCATTGAAGATTTTACATAAACTGATGACTCATCTCTCACTGGTGAGGCTATCAATCAGGCAAGGGACTTGCTGATTGATGTGTACACGAAGAATGTGGAAATGGATGGGTCTAGTCTAGCAGCAATCACAGCAAATAAATTTCTCAACAACAAGACTATGTTAGTGATGCTGCAACCTACTCAAGATGCCTTCATGCACTACCTAAAGAGATATGCTCTGGCCACAATAATTGACAAGACAGCGCACATAGCAAATCCAGGAGTGTCCCCATTCGATGAGC